AGCCTGAAGTCTCGTTAGTACTGGAAAATTATCTTTTATTTTTAGTTTGATAATTATTTCTCTTTATTTTTTCATTCCTCTTTCTGGAACACATTTGTTGAACACTGGCCATTATGTTTAGACCTTCTATGGCTCTTACTACTATTTTTCTCTCATATTTTGTATCTTTGTAATTTTTTCTAATTTTTCAAATATTTTATTAACTTAATATTCCAATTTTAAAATGTTTTAAAGACTTTTAATTTTAAAATAATTTTAGAGTTACAGAAAAATTGCAAAGATTGTATAAAGAGTACCCATGTGCTCCACACCTGGTTTCTTCTATTAACAGCTTAGGTTAGTATGGTACATTCAACAAACCAGTATTTGGTACATTCTTATTAACTAAAGTCCACATTTTTTCAGATTTCCTTAATTTTTACCTAAAGTCATTTTTCTGCTTTAGGATTCCATCTAGATGCCCCACTACTTGGCTGTGATAGTTTTAATGTTCTCTTCTCTCTGTTTAGCCTGTTTTCTCCAAGTTTTCATTCTGTTTAGTCTCACCTCTGTGTTCCATAGTTTTTCTCTGATATTTGCTCACCTTTGCTTGACTACTCATAATTCTGAGTGAGTGGGGGAATCTGATTTCCTGAATGGAATCTGTGGAATCTGAAAGTATGGGTGGGTCTGGTTAATGCTGAGTTTCTGTGTAGGGTTATTGGTCTGGGCTATTGTTGGAGGAACCCCTGATATTCATGTTAAGTCTTCCCATTTGGGCCGATTCCTTAAAGAAGTATCTTCCAATCTTCAGCCTGAAGTGTAAGGCCTGTCTGCTCACAGTCTGGTAGCCAAGTAGTTATTCATTTAATCCCTGAATTCTCAGACTAGTACTCACACCCTCAACTATGCTTGGCTTTCCCCAGAATAGAAACTGTTTTAATCTTTCTGATGTTCTGCTATTGTGGGGGAAGAGAAGTAGCACAGTGATAAGGAATAGCCATTGGAATGTAGGGAGGGGGACCTGATTGCTTTTTATTAAATCTTTCAACCAATCTTCTTTATTTGGGCTCCCCACTTTCCTTTAAGCCCCATTTCTAGAAATATATGACGCTGTCAGTTTCTGAGCCTTGATGATTTTGAAGTGAAGAACAGGTCAGTTTTCAGCTTTCCTCATGGTGGTTAGAGTTGGCCTGCTTGCATTTGTTTACAAGGTCCTTTGCTTAACACTCATCTGTTTACTTTCCTGCCTTCCTAATTTTTGTGCTATTGTATTATCTCCACTTATCCTTGGATATATACCTGTAAAAACTTTCTATATATCTACCATCCATCCATCCATCCATCCATCCATCCATCCATCCATCCATTCCTTTACTGTGGTTTTATGGAGGTTTCTGGTGGGAGCAAAGTTTGATTATTGTGTTCAATTCAGTGCCCATCTTTTCCAAAATCCAATTTATAACGTTTTACTTCCTTTATATAGTCTTCTGGATTCTAACTGCTCAATAAATATTAGTTACACTAAAACACATAGAACCTAGAAAATCTCCGTTGCATTGTGCTTTGAAGTTGATTGAACCCTAGTAACTTTGAAGTTGCTAGAACACCAAAGATATACACCATTTCCCAAATGTAACTGTCTTTCTCCTTTCTCNTTGTGTTCAATTCAGTGCCCATGTTTTCCAAAATCCAATTTATAACGTTTTATTTCCTTTATATAGTCTTCTGGATTCTAACTGCTCAATAAATATTAGTTACACTAAAACACATAGAACCTAGAAAATCTCCGTTGCATTGTGCTTTGAAGTTGATTGAACCCTAGTAACTTTGAAGTTGCTAGAACACCAAAGATATACACCATTTCCCAAATGTAACTGTCTTTCTCCTTTCTCAACTAAAGTCAGAACAGAGAGCATCTTTATGATTAATCCCTTTGTTTTCACGTCTAAATAAGCCTCCAGGGAAGAGCAGCCAAACAAATTTATTATGGCTTGTAAATTAGCAATATTAAAACTGGTATTAAGCTGCTTTCACTTAAAGTGTTGGGAGGGTGCGGTTTGGTGAGAGTCCGTGCTTTCCCAGTAGGGTTCTCAGTTAAAATGAATGAAGATGTAAATAATTAACTTTACAATGGGTGCTCATTTATGCAGCATTCGTCCTCCATTCCAAATATATTTGGCTGAATATTGATTATATGGCTCACTATTTTTAGACAAATGCTTTTACTTTGGTGTCTGATGAGTTAAATTGTATTAAAACTGTCAACTTGCCTCTTATAAAATGTAGCTTCCCACATGGTTTATATGTGATTTGTTCAAGTGGTGACGTAATGCTGGGTGATCAAAGAACTAAGCTTTAGTCCTGGCTCTACTACTTCCAAAGTAGGAGACTTTTTCCTAATCTTCTCAGCTTCCCCAGTGCTCTGATTCCCATTTACAAAACTGAGTTAGTATCACTCATCCTGGCTGATTAATAATGAGGATAATACTTACTCGTGTAGAAGTGAGGATACAATGAATTAATGGTGAATAAATCTTATTAGACCCCTTTAGTTTGTAACATACTATACCAATATAAAGAAATGCTATTTTAACATTTTAAATGCTATGTTAAAACAAGACTTATTGGACTAAAAGAGTAATGAGGGCAATGTATTGTTTAAAAATGGCAGGGACAAGGACTTCCGAGTCCCTTGCCTCTTGAGTAGTTTATGTGTTAGAAGCAACACACTGAGTAGACCTTTTGCACACACCAGTTCTCCTAACTAGTCCGGCTTTGCTTTTACTCTAGACTGTGGAACAGGAATGTCTGAGATCTTGACCTAATGTAGGCTCTAATCTTTCAAAGCTCCCTGCATTTTACCTGGCTTCTCTCCTGCCCCAAAGCTAAATGTTAGTTCCAAGATCTCACTGCCCATCTATGAAACTGTTTTGTAAAAAGTAAGCAAAATCAAGTTGAGGAGGTTCATCTACATTTTTCTGTCTAAGCATTCAGTGTTCAATGGGGCCGGCATTTTTTTCTTATGGAATTCTCTATATTGTCAAGAGCTCTCAGTCATTTTAACCATGTCATTCATTGCTTTTCAGGAGAAAACCCAAGCCTGTGCTTTAGTTGCCTGCTCTGGACTTGGGCCCTGACATTGAAAAGGTTTAACACATACTATCAGTGACAGTCAATTGGAAGACAGACACAAAGCCATTCTCAAGGATTTCTCCCTTTATTTCTAAAATACCTTTTGACCACTGGAAAGGGGGTTGATCCCTCCCTTTTGTTTCTTTTAGTATGTTCACAGTGACAGAGAAAAGGAGAGAGAGCACTGCACTCAGGGAGTTTGCTTTTTTTTTTTTTTCTTCCACATGAAAGACTTCATTGTCCCACCTCCGCAGTTGACTGCAGGCCCTGGAGAAAGTAGCAGAAGATCAAGAAAGAGAGAAGAATGATTACTGACATATTTTCAGAGTGGCAGGCTCTGTCTGAATAGGAATACATTGATTTGTGAGAGAGGATTCTTGCTGTGTTCTCAGTCTGAGGGGCTTGCTTTATCATTAGTGCCTTTAGTACTTGATCTAATCAGGAATGAAGCCTTTAAGCTGACTTTCTAAACCTCCAACACAATAGTTACTTGTCAGCTCTGGTTAGATTTGATTAGTGTAAGTGGGAAATATATCAGTATTTTTTTTTTTACCTCCTTTTTCTACCTGATCCCTTAGCTACCTTTTTATTTTTGGAACTTTTCCCCAGGAAAGTATTTTTGTCTCCCCTTCCTATTTCTTAGTTCTGGAGAATAAAAATGATAAATATACATATGAAGAAAAGAATACGTACCTAGGTACTCAGTCATTTGTTTTTTGTATTTTTTTTTTAAATATAGCTTTACTGATTTCAGAGAGAGGAAGGGAGAGGGAGAGGGAGAGAGAAAGATAGAAACATCAATGATGAGAGAGTCATTGATCATAAGCCCACAACCTGGGCATGTGCCCTGACCGGGAATCGAACCCTGATCGCCTGGATCCCAGGTCGACGCTCAATGGCTGAGCCACGCCCGGCCGGGCTGTTTTTTGTATTCTTAAGTAAAGCACGTGCAGTCTGAGGTGTTGGCTGCTTTTGTGTAGCTGTATATCGACAAGATTACCCAAATTTGAGATTCTCAAAGCATGATTCGGACCATGAGCCTGCAAAGAGCCTACATTGGGGGGAGAAAACAAAGTGTGATAGAGCCAGGGATGGTGGTGGTTATGTAGTACTAGGAAAAGCTATTAGTAGATTAATTCGTTAGTGTCCTTTTGGTTGTACTATTGTGAAGTACAAGAATTTATTAATCTAAATAAGACTAGCATCATCTTAAGACTCTAATTATATACATAGTAAACATTAAAATTCAATGGTAAAAATTCAATTGAAGGATTATTGCTGAGGATTTTCTCAGAACTTTCTGGATTGGGTAATTGGCTGTTCCAGGTGAGAGAAAACACATGCCAGGCAGAGTAGTTTTGGAAGGAAAGGAGATCAGATATTCAGTTTTTGATAAAATGTATTTGAAGCATCCAAGGGGCACTGGATAGAGCTGTTCAATGAAGATTTGACATGGCTCTCACTTGCTGGTCAGAGGACTGTACTGGATTCATCGAGGAGACCCTAACATGTGATGGTCAAGACTCAGAGAGAGAATGAAATCATGCCTGAGAGTAGGTGACTAGGAAGAACCATGGGCCAATAGAAGAACCTCAGGAATCCCAATATTTAATGATAAAATGAAGGAAAAATATTTGTGAAGAAACAAAACAATCAGAGAGGTTTGAAAGGAACCTCATGCAGTGTCATGGAAGCTTTGGAATAAATATTAAAAAGCTCATATAGAACAATTACCGACGTAACTCTGAAGATAGTGCCAGTCTGATCCTTGCCAGGTGGGGTGAGGTTTCCAGCAGGAAGGGAGCAGCAGTGCTCCCTGACAGGTGACTGTAAGCACCCACTGTTTCTCTTCCAGGAACGTAATCATGAGATTTAGCTCATTGTTATCAGAAAGTTGGGGCCCAAGTTAAAGGTGGAGTCAAGTATACACATTAATTTATGCCAAATCAAATTTTTTGTAGATATTTTTCTAGCAGAAAGAAAATAAATAGGAGAATTTGGAATGTTTCTAAGTCCCCAGTTCCTTTTTGACTTTTATTACATTACATTTTGACCCATTTTTATAAATATACATGAGCACACATCACACAAGCCTTGTAAGTTTTGCAAAGTAAGTATTACAATTTCTGATCTATTTCTGTGGTAGATATTTTTGATAGTATTATACAAGAACTGAGTACTTACCAATGACCTTAGGCATCTTGGCAAAATACATGGAAAAGTCAGCTGCAAGGTTGGTTTCTTGTTTATTTATTCAGTCTTTCTAGTATTTTGATCTCTTATTACTTTCTCTCAAGCTATTTTCTAGTCCTAGACCAATGTTCAAATGTGAGCCCTTGTAAATTCAATGGGTTTTATATATATATAAGAAAAATTTGATCCTGAGTTTCCACATTCTGGGAGAGACAAATACTAATTTTATGTAACTGACATTGAAATTTCAAAAAAAAAAAAAAGTCTATTTTTAATTGAAAACCTCAAGGTAAAACATGTCTAATTTTTTAGATAATAAAAATGTTGTTCTCATGTGAGAGAACTCCTTCTTTGGACTTAGTTTGAAAAACAAAACAATTAGAGAAGAGAGGAAATTTGGTCATTTCAGTAACTTTATCAAGTAGTGACAAAATGGAACCTTATAGTGTGGGAAGCGACACTGAACAGCAACGTCAAATCTGTTCCTTTTACTGCTAATGAAGATACTCTGACTCTTAATGTCTGGATTTTCTCATCTGGATTGGATTTTGCTAGTTATTTTTTTGTTATTGCTCCTTTCAGTTCCTATGTTCTCCAATTCCCAATAAGATTTTCTTACTTGGTATCAATAATCAATACCATAGATGCTCAGTTAATCAATGTCCATTTCACTAGAGTAACCACGCTGCCCACTCCCTCAATAAAAACCTGCTGGACTGTGCCCATCACAGAAGAATACGGGCAGCCGGAAGACTACTCTAGTACACCCAAGCATTTCTGCCCCCATCAGTTGACTTTTATGTTGATCGAGAGTCAGCTAATTTTGTTCTCAAATCTATTTATGCCAACGGTGTTTGTTATTGAAATTTCATAATTTATTAAATAGTATGAAAACCAAAGAGATATGAGTGTGAAAAGAAAGATAATTGTGTCCACAAAAACTAATCTAAATTTTGAATAGAGTCTGTGTGCAGGGGGGAGTTGTGTAATATAATAAGACATTATAAAATATTAGAAAATACTCAGAAATATATAGAGAAGTCAATTTTCTTGTTTCTTCATGCTAAACCTATTTTTTAATTCCACTTGAAAGAAACTGAAACTGGAGGTCAAAGATGATGCTTTATGCAAGGAAGTAACAGCCGTACAGACAATAAGCAAAAGTTCTACAGCAAAAGATAGGTGAGTGAATGCCAGAAGAGATTATTGAAGCAAATGTCAATTACTTAGGTATGCATGTATAAATTCTTATCTTTCCTCACTTTCACTCTTTTTTTGGTTAACCCAGTAACTACCAGTTCTGACTGTGTCCAATTAGAGTGTATTTACTCTAATTTGCCATTTTGAGGTCAGGCCAAGATAAAGTGTCCAAGTTTCCTGTGTTCTCTCAATATTAATGAATGTACTAGACTAAAGAAGAGTATGAATAAGCTTGTGGAGAGCACTTTTTTCCAGGCATTTGAGGAATAAATATTTATTTCAATGCTAATTACATATTATAAGGTAGTTGTATTATTTTCTGGGTTTGAGTCCTGCCTCCTATTCTTGCTAACTTATTAATGTCTTCAAAACATGGCTTCTACCACAGAGGCATTACAATAATATACTAGCTCACTGAGTTAGAAGGTTAACTCTGCTCAAATACAGAAAGCATGCACCGTGCATTTAGTGGAAACTAAGAATATAATACTTATTACCTCTTAATGTAGGTTTCAAGTGCTTCTATTTACTGACTGATTTTGAATGTAATGATGAACTCTGGAAGTTCTTAGATGAAAAAGATTGAACTTTATGAACTTTTTCGGGGGAGCTAAGGCAAACTCGAGAGCAATGGGACTGCCGGGACCACATAATTAGATGACATGGTGGCCAGAGGTCAGAACTGAGTAGCAAGTCAGAGCCTTCAGTTAGGGGTCAGTTCTCAAGCTCAAGCATAGACCAGTACTTGCAGCACATGCTTCAAGTGACATGTCCCCTCTCTGTAAAGCACTGTTGCTGGAGGTGATGAGCTATGCACCATGATTATTGCAGGTCTGAGCTATGCTTTCTCTCCTTTCGCTCGCTCTCAACACGTCAGCTAGACTGAGCCTTGTAAAGTCTGAGATCCTGCCACTCCTGTGCTCAAAACCATAGAAACGCAGCTCATTTCACTATGGAGTAAAAGCCAAACTTCTTACAGTAAACGGCCTGTACGGCTCTGCAACGACCTGGGATCTCAATGGCCCCTCCACTCCCACTGCTGTTTATTCCTCTCATTCTTTCTCCCTCAGCTACACTGGTCTCCTTGGAATTCTTTTAAAAATGCCCAGCACTCTCCTGTGCTGTGACCTTTGTTTTTCCCTCCACTGGGAATGCTTCATCTCCCATAGCTGCTGGTCCCACTCCTTCACTTCCTTCAGGTCTTTACTCAAGTCTCGCTTTCCCAGTGAAGCTGACCTTGACCACCTCCGTATCCCACACTCCCCTTTCCCCAGCTTCCTTGCCCTTTTATATTGTAGAACTTACTTAGTTATCAAGTTTGTTTTTTCTTGCCTGCCTATCTTTGCTAGAATGTAAGTTCTACCAGGGCAGGGTCCTTTATGTATAGTTTTGGTCACTTTCATGTTCCAAGTGCTTAAAACAGTGGTCTGACTTGGAACATGATTGGACTTATTAAATATTGGTTCGATGAATGAATGAACAAATGAATGGAAGAATCAGGACTGGGCTGAAAACAAGTCCAAGTTATCCTTTGCCAAGGGCAAAGCAAGTAGCAAAACTATCCATCTCTGGGGATTCACTGAGGAGAGCAATGATCTTTTTAGACTGGAATGGCTCTCTTGACTTTAGCTATAGTTTGCAAATCTCCCTTTTCTCTAAGTCCCACTACTTTCTTTTAAAAATTGATTTTAAAGAGAGGGAGAGAGAGAGGGAAACATCGATCAGTTGCCTCCTGCACATGCCTCGACCAGGGATCGAACCCACAACCTGGGTATGTGCCCTGACCTGGAATTTAACCTCCTACCTTTCAGTGTATGGGATGACTCTACAACCAATTGAGCCACACCAGCCAGGGCTACTTTCTTGATTTTGTTGCCTTAAAGTCATGTTTATTCAGGCAAAGAGAATCAAAGAACTGTCGCTAAGACCCAGATGATCCAGATAATAAACATGTCTTTGCTTCAGTTTTGTGACATATGGGCAAATAGTCATTAAGGCCTTTTTCTCCTTTTCCTTCATTACTTGTCTCTAGTTTGGTTTAATGATTACCTAATGATTCAGCAGTTATGACCTTTCTTTTTAACTCTTGCAGTTTCTGACCCTCTCGTATCCATTTTTGGTGTTGAAGTATATGAATTCCCTTTCACCTAATTGCAGTTTAAATACTTCTAGTTTTCATGGCTCTCTTTATGTATAAAATAATAATTATACTGTAGTAATTATAAAAATTATTTAGCTCTATTGAGCATGTATTATCTGCCAAGTTCTGACTTAGGAACTTCAGATATATTTTCACTAATTGTCACACCAACCTTACAAGGGGATTTTGAACTCAGAAAATTTACTCTGTGCTTTTCAACATGTATGTTTTCTTCTGACTGGCCTCATCAGATTCACTAGAAGTTCTTGGTGACAGATTCCTGGACCCCACTCCAGAAAACCTACAGACAATCAGTATTTTAACCAACTTCCAAGGTGAAACTACTGGACGCTAAAGTTTGAGAACCATTGTGTAGGTATTGAGGTAGAACCTATCTTAAAGTATGCCGGGAAATGAGCTCTAAGTTGCCAGTAGCACCCTGTATTAGTCATCACTGGGCAGTTTTTTACTTACTACAATGGAAGCTAACCCTCTTCCTGGCAAGCCATACTTTGCTTTTGCTGACCCTGTAGCATTTGGCATATATAGTATCACACACACAAAAACAACCAAGATTCGTGTTGACGTTTCCAGCCAGTAGATACTGTTCAAGGAGACCTTGGTTCTTTCCCAGGCCAGAATGTGCCCTTTGACTCTATGTCAAATTAATTCAGTTTTGTAAGCAATAAGGGTCCAACTCATTTGGTCAGTGCATCTGGGAACAAAAAGTAAAGCAGATATCTGAAAAACTAAAGACAAGTATCTGATTTTGCATTAAGAAAATCACTAGCTTTCCCTATTTTTCTTACTTATTCAAGTACAAGGAAAGAGCATGACTCAAAAGTTAGATATGTAAAATTGCACAGACTCATTTCACTACAAATCAGATAGGGAAGGTGAAGCAATTGTTTAGATGTGGAGTTGGCAATCTATGATCCATAAGCCTAATCTTTCCTGCTACCTACTTTTGTAAATAACATTTTGTTGGGTCACAGCCATGCACATTCCTTTGCATGTTGTCCAGGGCTGCTTTCATGTTACAGTGGCAGAGTAATTGCTGAAACAACTATAGGTATGGGCAATAAAGCCAAAAAGTATTTAATATCTGATCCTTTATAGAAAAAGCTTCTGCTCTCTTGTCTACATTCCTTAGAGATTATTCATTTTCATTCCAAATTTTTCAAGTTTTTGTATGGAATTTGAACATGGTAAGATAATAGAATTGCAATAAATCTATAGAAAATGAATGGTAATATTTTTTGGTTAAACTCTTCACAAAAGAAGAAATAAACTCAGCCATCCAAAGTCACTAAAAATGTTAAGCAATTGTTAACCTGTAACCCCACTCGCAGAATTACTCCATGGATCATAAAGCACACTCTGTAGGAAGAGAGGAGATAAGTTTTTATGGAGAGACATTCATTTCAAAGTGGAGGTCATGCTCACCAGGGTGTGAACAAGACCATTCATTGGTGTGTGGAAAAGATTACAATTTATGACTTTACATTAAAATGTAGAGAAAGGAAATTAAGATTTACTGATATTTAATATACATATTGGTACTCATCCCTGCACAAATGTACTGACAAGAGTTTGAGGTTTTTTAAGGAAAGAGAAGTTGCCCCAAACCCAAAGGAATGGCTGTGGAGTTCTCTCTCGCTTGATTTCAGCGTATTAACACACAGTGAAGTTTGCATGTACCTGGTTAAGTGGACTTTGGGATTTCATTATCTACTTCACAGAATGGTCAGGTAGGTAAAAAGATTCCTGCAAAAATATTTGAGATCAAAGATAATCATTCATGCACTGCTTAATAGTGGAAAAAATGGCAGAGTTGACATTTCTCTTAATCCTATGGCACCAGTTCTTCAGCAGCTGAAGAGGTAAAAGATGAATCATAAATTCTGATGAATTTTGAAGTGATCAAGAGAATATATGAAATATGGATCTTCCTCCCCTATCATTATAGATCTAGTTGCATACTGTCAAATTCAAGCAAAATGTTTTGCATAATTGGTGAATTGGATTAAATAATGAGTAGCATGATTTAGCAGGCAAGATAATGAGGTCCTTTTTCTTTTCACATTCATATATCATTAGAAATTAACTTTTCAGCGATGATAATCATTGAAGTCAAGTGCAGAATTAATGAACATAAAGTTGAACTGAATCATAAATATTAAGCCAGGATTTTAAAAAATCAAATATATTAAATCATATTGTTTATACAAATTTTAATAATAGTGATGATATTTAAAGCAAGAACAGAAAGATTTTATAAATTAATAAATAAACCACTATTTCTGTCATCTTTACCTCATCATTCACAATTTCATTTTGTATGTGTTGCACTATGTATATAATATGTTAGTGCAATAGTACATGCATATAATCTGTATATATTTATAAATTTAAGCATACATCTTCAATGAGTATATACACATATGTTTGTTTTATTTGTAGATGTGTGCGATTAAAAGGTTTAGAAGCCACTGATTTGGACAATGATGTATCAGTTCAGCCTTCCTACTGGACTAGTTTGGATTTTATCTCTGACATTTCCTTTGACTGAACTTCCTTCAACCTGCTGAAGTCTTGGTACAGCGACATGAATAGCAATAACTCCTCTCCATGAACCTTTGTATAAATATTTATTGTTACATACTTGTTTGTATATTTTATATTTGTCCCCAGTGGCATTGTCTATCATTAATGCTGGATATTTAAATACTAAGGATATTACTGATTAAATTTGCTTTTTCTTGTGCAGTAGTCCCCCCTTACCCAAGAGGGATACATTCCAAGATCCCCAGTGGGTGCCTGAAATTGCAGGTAGTACTGAATCTTATATATACCATGTTTTTTCCTGTACATACATACCTATGATAAAGTTTAACTTATAAATTAGGCACAGTAAGAGATTAATAAGACTACTAATAAAGTAGAACAGTTACAACAATATACTATAATAAAAGTTATGTGAGTATGGTTTCTCCCTCTTCCTTTCAAAATATCTTATTGTACTCTGCTTAGCCTTCTTGTGATGATGTGAGGCGACAAAATGCCTAAATGATGAGATGAAGTGAGGTGAATGACATAGGCATTGTGATGTAGTGTTGGGCTACTACTGACCTCCTGATGAGATATGTCAGAAAGAGAATCATTTGCTTTAGGTGATCCTGGATTATCAAGCCATGACAATGTTGATGGTTGGATGTCAGGAGAAAATTATGTTGATGGCTGAGAAATTTTCACCTGTCCTTTTGTATCACTGTTGACTGCAAGTAACTGGAACTGTGGAAAGCAAAACCATGGAAAGGAGGTGACTACTGAATCTTTTATAGGCAGTTAGCTGGTGCCCCTATTACTATTTGCTTTTGTTCCTGAAGAAATTATTGTATGATCACAAATTTCACCAAATCTTACTGATTCTCATATAAGTAATAGGAGCACATTCAGACTTTGGGTACGTTTGGGGATGTTTTCCTGGGTCAAGTGGCTTTTGGTGATATTAACTTTGTTTACTGTATGTTAAAACAATAAATCACTTTCCTTAGGAAAAAAATTCTGCCCCAATCACTTAAACTTATTTGGTATTTGTTGAGATACAAAGAACCCACTTTCATACCACAAATTGTGCTAAATGAGATACCTCCTTCATGTCTCTTCTGGCCAGAACAGATCTATAATTTCATATCTCAGTGTCATGTTCATTCAAACCTTTTCCCATTTGGGAACAACCATGTTCTCCAGCTGTGCCACTGACATTGGTATCAAAGCTCTCCTTAGTTTTTCTTTATTAAACTGTAGTATTTCTTCTATCGAGCAAGTTAGTATGTTGACTCCAGTAGTTCTCTTTTTCTTCTGTCAATTTTAGCCCAACTGCACAAGCTCTGCCTTTTGTATTTGTCCACGGAGAAAACCTCAGAACTTGATGTTTGCTATCAGACTGGCCAGAAAGGCTAGTTCCTCATTTGCTTCTTTATGCATTCTGGATGCCAGTCTCAAAAGCAAATGTCACAGCTTTTACGGGATTCGGCAGATGTCAAAATCCTCTCCATTACTTCCCACCCCAACTCTTAGTCCCAGCAGCTCTGTGGTGCCAGTTATGATCGAAATTCATGAAAACAGACTGACATTTTAGACATGGATGGAAACAATTTGTGGAGGAGGCATAAAATAGCAGGCGTATACTTCTCATGTTTATAGTCTCTGATCCTGTAAGAACTTCAGTTTTTAGAGAAACCAGTTTGAATACCATATATGCTTGGTTTGAATATTTTTGGGAGAAATTCACAGTAACTACCTTTGATGTGGACTGAGCTCTAGTCTCATGGCTAAAAAAGTTTGTTTCTTCTCTAAGCAAATGGCTAATCATGGCAGGTCCATATTGAAAATTAATAGCTTAGGGGAATTTAGAATAAAAATAGAGGAAAACTAAATTTTTAAAATGTAGTTTAAGAATGAGAAATCATTAATTAGTATTTTAGTAAAGTATTTTTCTATAGATTTGTAACATGTACGACACCCATTATGCTAACCAGTAAATCCTAGGCCGGAAGGAACAGTTACCAAAATCACACATTTTCTATTTATGTTTCATGTCCTTAAACCAGCCATTTATTTATTCTTATAATGTGCCAAGCTTGTACTAAGCCTTTTACATAAATCATCTTAGCAGTTCTTAATGTATTTTTACTGTTATACATCTGAGAGATATGCCATGTTCTCATTAGAAACAGTAGCTCCTAAACAATGGTGTAATGACCTACTCTTCTTTATCTGGAGGGAGCAGGTTGGGGGAAACATGAGAATTTGTTGCAGAAACTAGAATTTAAGCCTATACCTGGTTTCAGAATCTGTATTCTAAGCCACTATACTCTAAACCTCCCATGTGTTTGATCTTTCACTGCCTGTGATGGACTAAATGTTTCTGTCCTCCCAAAATGTTGAATTCTAATCCCCCCTTCTGATGATATTAGGAGGTGGGGTCTTTTAGCATGTGATTAGGTCATGAGGGTGAGGCCCTCATGAATGGGATTAGTCCCTTATAAAAGAGACCCCAGACAGGATTCTTGTTCCTTCCACTACATGAGGACACAGCAATGAATCAGGAAGAGTGTCCTCATGAGATACCGAATATGCCAGTGCCTTGATCTTGAACTTCTCAGCCTCCAGAGCTGTGAGAAAGAAACTTCTACTGTTACAACCACATAGCTTATAGTATTTTTGTTACAGCAGCCTGAATAGACTAAGCACTTCCCAACCCCTTCTCCTGGATCATCCATGATCTCTAGGGGCTTAAGCAACAAAAAATAGTCTGTCAGAATTCCACTCTCAAGTGACATGGGGCCCTGGTGAATCTCCATCACTGCTGCCTTCACTGTCTAGGCTCTGCTGGGAACACCAATTTTCCATGGTACCTCTGGCCCTGCTGCTTCAGGCATTAGCAATGCACCGGCATATACAGTTTTCTTTTGATCAGCATGGGCCTCTGAAAATGGGTGGCACCAAAAGATAATACAACTTGCTTTCTGATCATTTTGAATCCCTTGCTCAGGCCCCAGGACTACTAATGAATGTTCATCTTTTTCAGGAGGCTGCACAGCCATGCTCCTACAAAGTCCTTTACCCAACCGACATGTCTAGTCATCTCCCTGTCTCAGAGATGGCAATCACTGTCCCTCTTTTGGATTCTGGAAGCCTCTCAGGGTGAACTTTCCTCTTCTTCCTAAAATATAGATGATACTTTTTCCCTTTTCTTCCCATGATGAAGTTTAAAGAACATTTCAGAAGAACTTGGGCCTCAGAGACACCAGGACCTGTCTAGTGCCATTTCTTGGGGAATGGGAAGTGGACTATTTTTTTATGTCTTCTTGATAAATTGCCCATTCCAGGGATATAGAATAAAAATTTCAGTACAAGCTAAATTATCACATGTAGATGACTCTGCTATATCAAAGATGTATAGAACAAGAATGCATGCTCTTGTTAATTTCTCTCTTGTATAACAAAACATGTTTTCTTTTTAGTTATGACCTAAACATAAAAATCTATGTCATAATGTTTTGACCTTTATTATTTATTTGTTAGCTATTGCAAAAGCATGTCCTGGTAGCTAGTCCAGAGAGGAATCACTGCCAAGCTTGCTGCCAAGGGCCTCACAGAGAGAGAGCTGAAGAAGCCAACCTTACAGGGTTCTGTTGAAAATAAGCAACTTTTTATGGTCCCCCCATCTTCTCACTGCAATGGTTTGGCAGTAACTTCTCAGGACGAGTGTGCAGGGAAGGAAGGTAGAGAAGTTTCCCTGCAGTGTTATATAGTTGGCTATGATTGCTGCATATCATTTTATGCCTGGTAACTCAATGAGACTGCTTGCCATTAGAGCAACAGGCGTAGCTGCTCATAAAAGCATATCCATAGTACAGGAGGATCTAGGCCAGGAGAGATTATCTCAGGTATACACTGTGTCCAGAATTCTCCTGAGAATTATTTAGGAAATGGTATTGAGACCAGACCACTGACCCATTGTTTCCTCTCTTAGGCGAGTCCTTCATTGTCCTCCTTTGTGAGAATATACTTGGGGCCTTCTCTGACACTGATCTCAGGCTAGCTGAATAATGGTGAAACTCATTAGAGTGTGGGACTTGAATATTTACCTTTCCTGGGCACTCCTTGGCCTGTAGACAAATACGTTTATTTCCTACTAGGCATTCTTTGAGTTGAACATACAAAGATGATAGGGGTGTGGGATACCTTGTCAAGCCACAAACATAACATGCTCTATAATAATATCCTCCCACACTGTTACCGTGCTTTGACATGGTATGATTCAAGTCCTAATCCTGTTCCCCTAACACTAAAATTAAGTGGTTTCACTCTATTAAGGGCATTTGAAACTCACTAAAGCATCTGAGCGTCACATGGACTAGCCCAACACAAAACTCTTAATCTGAAGTTGACCTTTTAAAAAAACCCTTAGCTCAGAATTTGACCTCATCACCTCAGAAAATTGGGCTTAAAATCTGTCTCTACAGTGTTTCATGGTTGTTGTCTTCCCTCCCCAACTTTTCTGAATTTGCCTTGGGTATCAAAGATATTATTTCTTCACCAAAACAATCCAAAACATCTAAATAAATATATATATAGAAACTCCTGTTCTTTCTTCCTTAATATTGTTTTCATTAAACACTTGTTTTGAAAGGAGCTCAGTGTGAATAATAACATGGGTGTGGGCCTCCACATACCAAGGCCCCAAGGAATTCACTTACATCATGTTTAAGTTTTAGCTGAGGCCTCTGAATTCCACCCAGTACAGGTGGTAATGTGTACGGAGCACATGTGATTGGTACTGAACAGTAAGAGGTTCAGCCTTGGGTTAAGAAGGAAGAAAGAGAGAATATAAACAACCTAGAAACCTGTTTGGATCATGACAGGTGGCTGTTGATTAGGACAGGCATATAACACACCTGGGTGCCTTAGTGGAAATGTCATGCCTTATTTTAGAAGGAAATTAGATTCAGTGATAGGAGACACACTCTAGGGACTAAATAAAAGCCTAATAACATATTTAAGTGTGCCACTTACCAACAAGATTGATTTTCAAATTTGCTTTTTCCCCCTATTTATTTATTTATTTATTGATTGATTATATTATTGAATTTATTGAGGTGACATTGGTTAATAAAATTATATAGGTGTCAGGTGTACAACTCTATAACACATCATCCGTATATTGTATTGTGTGTTCACCACCCCAAGTCAAGTCTCCTTCCATCAACCAT